CGGACGCCAAAAACCAATGCCGAAAACCGAAAGCCGAACGCCGGTTTCTGAAAGCCGAACGCCGGATGGCTTGGTTTTTGGCTTGGGCGAACTCCAAGTGTTTTGAGCCAAGTTTAAAACTTAAGAAAAATATTTTTGAAAATGTAAAAGAGATTTTTATGAATTGAGCCTAGAGAGCCAAGATTTGGAATTTTGTGCCAGTCTTGATCACATTAAGACCGACTCAATACAATTCTAGTTCTTCGTTCTTGATTCTGGGTTCTTGGTTCTCAAGTCATCATGCCATGTTCCTTCGCCTTAGTTTTGCTCACGTTAGCTTTGATATGTCGCGGCGGTTTGGCATTATCAAAACCTGTCATAAAGACGAACACAGTTTAGTACGACGGAGGCGTAAACCCGTGTTCCAACAATTACATGGACCTCTCAATAATATTTATTTCATTGTATACTCCGTATTTTTATTATCAATTGATGAAATAAAATATTTTTTCTCAAACTCTACTTTTTTATAATTAGACTCGGTTGTTGTTATTATCATTTCTTGTTTTGTAGAATTTTTTATTTCATAAAAATGTCATTTGTACTTTTTACATATTCCAATTTACTATATAAACAAAAAACATTAAATTTTGTACATTATTCAGAGTGAGATTATAATTTAGGTAAAAAGACTAAAATATGAGTAAAATATTGAAAATATACCAAAATAGGACTTTCATATTTTTATTCTCGGAATAGGAGTTAAAATGCATTTACATTACCAAATATGATTATATATATTACCAAGAGGTATAGTAATATGCACGTGTGCAGTGCCACATTACAACCACAATATCACAGCGTGAAATCCTACTTCAAAAATAAAAATACGGAACCTCTATTTTACTATTTTTATCTATGTTTTAGTCTTGTTTAGAGTGATCTCTATATAATTGATTTGTAAAAGTATTTGTATTTAATACTCCCTTAATATTCCTCCCGTGCATGGATAAGTGTAAATAGCTCCTCTAGTGCAATTAATGAATGGAGACATATGAAAATCCAACAATTAACCATCCCAACCCGCATAACCTGAACTCATGGGTTAGCGAACCGAGCTGCTACCATTCTGGTATCCAAACACACGTTAATTTTAAAACAAATTAAAACATCCAACCATTCTTAATTTAAAACCCAACATCAGAGTAAGATAAAATAGTATGGAAGCTTAATATTTGAAATAGCACAACTTGGACCTCGTGCCCGAAAATGTAATGAGTTATTTAGAAATAAATATGAATTCCAAATCCTCAATTAAATCCACCCACATCTCTTCCTACTCATCGCCTTTTGGAATAGACTCTAGGTTCATCATCTGTTTGATTACCTACGTGCAGCAAACAAACAACTACACGCTCAGCATTGACGCTGAGTAAGAAATATCTAACGTCAAGTAAACAACCAAATGAATCCATAATTCATAACTATCATGTAATATCACGCAATCAACATCACACATACAATTCAATTCACACAATTTACCCGGCACTTGCTCGTTTCCATTCTCATCAAACGTGTGGACTCATCATGGTTGGTGGATCACAAGGAACTTGTCCCTAGAGTCTACTCTAGACCTTATACTTACTATTTTACTTGGGAGTCATGATGGTTCCCACTAGATTAGCGGGTCATGCTCTACCAACGAAGGTGTTCCCTGTTGGGTAGGTGGAATCCCCACGTGATGCACCACCAGGCAGTTTAAGGATACCCGTACGTACGATTTTACCTTGTTGGCCATTGGGCCCATCAGGCTCCACATAGCTTAGACTCTTAGCTATTAACTACTCGTGTCAGTCTCGAGGATTCCCTCTAGGTAGACTTAGGGGTGGGCAAACGAGTCATGGAACCGTGAGTCGGAACCGAACCGACAGGTTCGGTCCGGGTTAGGGGCGGGTCCATTTTTTAAAAAATTATAACGGGCCGGTCCGGTCCGGGCCTTATAGGTTTCTGGACCGGTCCGGTTCTCAATTTTAAAATTCTTCAGGAACTGGACCGGCCCGTTAGTTAATAATCCATATTATTATTATTATCCGTATTACTCATTTACTTGGGCCAAAGCCCTACCCAATCTCCCAACTCCCAATCCTTTCAGAATTTCCCAGAAGCCAGACCTTCAGAACCCTTTGCAGAGAGACGGACGAGCACAGGCTATGAGACGGAGAGACGATGCTTCTGGGGCATACACGATGAGATCGAGCTTCTGAAGCGCTGCGTGACGAGTGGTGTCCGGACACGAATTCCCCTATCACAACTCGTCTCTCGCCCGTCAATCCCTGGTACTCTCTATTGTTGGAACACAAGTTTACGCCTACGTCGTACTAAACTGTGTTCGTTTCTATGACAGGTTTTGATAATGCCAAACCGGCGTGACATAACAAGGCTAAAGAGAACAAAAACCAAGGCGAAGGAACATGGCATGATGTTTTGAGAACCAAGAATCCAGAATCAAGACCGAAGAATTAGATTTGTATTGAGTCGGTCTTAATGTGATCAAGACCGACACAAACTTTCAAAACTTGGCTCTCTAGGCTCATTTCATCAAAACTCTTTTTACAAACTCAAAAATGTTTTTCATAAGTTTTAATCTACCCAAAAACACTTGGAGTTCGCCCAGACCAAAAACCAAGCCATCCGGCGTTCGGCTCTCGGTTTTCGGCATTGGTTTTTGGCGTCCGAACCAACCAAGTGGTTTTCAACTTTTTATGACTGGTTTTTGCTACTGGGCACATTTAATTAGTTCTCCAACAAAAACGCCTCAAAAACCACCTTCTGTTTTTGATCGTTGAGTGAAAACCATGCAAAACGGCGCGAACTTGGCTAGCCGTGGTTTTCAACTAAATGACATGGTTTTCAAGATGTTTTACTTGATTAGCAAAATGCAATAAACAAATGTTTTCTAAACTTGGTTTTTATTTTGGAGAACTTGCGTTTTTGACATCGGCTAACGGCGTGACTAAACCAACCATGGGTCTGGCCAAACCAGCCCAACAGCGATGTTGAGGTAATCAACATCGCTGTCTGGCCTGGGTAGCTAAAAACATGGTTTGGCGTTAAGTCTTCCAACAGCGATGTTGGACACCAGACATCGCTGTTGAGCCAAGGTTGGAATTCCAGAAACTTCTGGAATAGCGATGTAGGCTTCCCTACAGCACTGTCAGACCTAAGCCAAAAATATAGTGCATTGGCAGAAAGTTTTTGGACAGCGATGTTGACCCAGCAACAGCGCTGTCAGGCCAAACTTCCATCTTCAAAGGCAGACCTAAACAGCGATGTTCTAGTATAGAACATCGATGTAGAGACTTGACCGTTGGAAGGAATTTAAGGCTAAAACTTTCCTTGTTTGGAAGTCAACAGCCAAAACAGCGATGTAGGGATTTTAGACATCGCTGTTGGCATGACCGTTGCTTCCCATTTTTCAAACCGCAAGCCTAGAACAGCGATGTCCAGGCCTAGGACAGCGCTGTCTGGGTGATTTTCAGCAGATCCAAATTTTATCAAATCCCACAAATTGTGCCAATCACCCCTTAAATACTTTGGTCCGTTGGAGCCTATTTTTCTATTATAAAATGGGGTGTTTGGGTCTGTTTTACACAACACATTACTTCACAACTCCTACTCTTTCATTGCAAATCATTCTTCAATTATTCATAGCTTTTGAGAGCCATTTTTGTGAAGCTTGTGTTGTGTTTTTGAGCGTTCTTAGTTTACTCAATATCCACTCTAAAAGAGAGTATTGTTCTTGAGTGTTTTTAGTGCTCTTAGACACTTGACAAGAGAAGGTATTTCTCTTGTTGTTCGAAGGAAGGGCTGTTTCCTTCGAAGGTTCGTTGAGGTTCGTCTGACTCGAATTCTCAAGTTGTACGGGTTTGTTAAGCACCGTTAAGCTTAACGAGATAGTAGTGTAGCTCGAGAGAGTCTCTCGGGAGGCTGGATTAGCCACAAGTTGTGGTGAACCAGGGTAAAATCGGTGTGCCTCTTTCTTTTCTCTTTACTTCTCGTTTATTCATTTTTATTCCTGCGATTTCTTGATCAAACGCTATTCACCTCCCCTCTAGCGTTGTTCTATTATTCTAACAATTGGTATCAGAGCCTAACTTGCGTCCAAACTTAACCGTTTGAGAGTAAAGCGATCATGGGCTCTTCTTCTAGAAATCTCTATGCAGGAATTGGAGAAGGTCAATCAACCTCTAGGCCACCACTTTTTGATGGCACCAACTACTCTTATTGGAAGGAACGGATGAGAATCTATATTCGTTCCACCAACTTCCAATTGTGGTTGGTGATCAAAAATGGCGAAGAAATCCCTATGAAGAAAGTGGGAGAAACCACGGTCCCGAAGACCGAAAACGAATTCGATGCCGAGGATATCAAGAAGGTTGAAAACTATGCAAAGGCCATCAACATGCTTTATTGCGCGGTCAACCCCGATGACTACCGAAAGATCTCCTGCTGCACAACCTCCAAGGAGATGTGGGACAAGCTTGAAGTGACGTACGAAGGTACCGATCAAGTTCGTGAAGCCAAGATCAATTTTCTCACCAAAGAGTACGAAATGTTCCGAATGAAAGAAGGTGAGAAAATCGATGACATGTTCGGACCGGTTCTCAAAGATCATTAACGATCTTCATGCTCTCAAAAAAACTTACACCAACAAGGATCTTGTGAGGAAAATCCTTCGGAGTCTCACACCCGAATGGAGGTCAAAAGCCGATGCAATCTACGAATCCATCGGAGTCTCCAACGTCACCATCGACGGGCTAAGAGGTAACCTTAAAACCTATGAATCTACTATTCTAACCCCATCTTTGGATGAACAAAAGAAAAAGGGGATAGCTCTCAAAGCCACCAAGGAACCGGTGGAAGAGGCTTCAAGCGATGACGACAATGAATTCGGGCTCGTCATCAAAAAGTTCCACAAGTTCATGAAGAAGGAATTTGAGCGGAAGGGAAGGAAGCACGACGGTCCTCCCAAGTGCTACGGCTGTGGCGAGATTGGCCACATCAAGCCAAGGTGTCCAAAGGCCAAACACGGCAAGGACAAGCCTGGCTTCAAGAAGCAAGGGGCCTACATCTTTTGGGGTGGCGATTCCGGTGACGAATCAACCGACCAAGAGGAGGACGAAGCTGCAAATCTCTGCCTCATGGCACACGAAGATCAAAGTGACGACGTCCAAGAGGTATGTAACATTTCTTCCGACTCTTATACTTTTGAAGAAATGCAAGAAGCACTTCATGAACTTTATGAGGAATTTGTTAGCGCTTCCAAAACAAATAAATCTTTGAAGAAACGACTTTCTTTACTTGAAAACGATTTTGAAAAATTGGAAAAAGAAAATGAAATACTTAAACAAGAAAACAATTTTTTTGGAAAAAGAAGCGCTGACAAACCAGAATGCTCATCAAGTGAATGTGGGTCTTGCAAAGCTTTAAAAGAGCAAGTCGCTAAACTTGAGAGCACGGTCAAGAAATTTAATACTCCTCACAAAGACTTGAATTTACTTCTTGACACTATGCATTTTTCTAAAGAAGGAATAGGCTTTGATAAAAATAAAGCTAAAGATAATGTTGAGCCACCACCTAGACAATCATCTAAGGTTCAACATAAGAAACCTAAAAATCAAGATAATAGAAAACCTAGTCAACCTAAGGACACTAGAACATCTAGACTAAAACCTAGGAATGAAAATGGTCATGGTAGACAACCTAAGAAAAATGATTTTGTGCATAAAAACGAATTTTCTCAAATTAGGAGAAATAATGCTAGAACACCTAGAAAAGGCCAGTTTCAAAATTTTCAAAAACCACTATTTTCACAAAATAGGAACAAAATGGTCAAACCCTCTAACTATTATGAACCTAGGAACATGTACAACCCCAATGTCATTTGCCATTATTGTAATAGGACAGGCCATATTGCTCCCGTTTGTTACACTACCGGGGATGCATCCAAGTTTCTTGATAGCGGATGCTCCAAGCACATGACCGGGGATGCATCCAAGTTTCTCCAAATCAAACCCGCTAAAGAAGGAAACGTAGTTTTTGGAGACAATAGCAAGGGAAAAATTATCAGCGTTGGTTCAGTAGGTAAATCTGAAAACTCCTCTATAGATAATGTCTTGCTTGTTAAAGGTCTTAAACACAATCTCTTGAGCATAAGTCAATTATGTGACAAGGGAAACCGTGTGACCTTCGATTCAAAATCATGCATAGTAGAACGCCTTAGTGATAATAAGGTCATTCTACGTGGTGATAGAATTGATAACATTTATATGGTTAACTTAGACAAATCTCCTTCCGACTTTGCTAAGTGCCTCATGAGTAAAGAGGAAGACACCTGGTTATGGCACCGAAGGGTAGCTCATATGAACATGAACCTTTTGAACAAATTGGTTTCACAAGACTTAGTAATTGGCATTCCAAAACTTAAGTTTGAAAAAGACGCCATATGTGATGCATGTCAAAAGGGGAAGCAAGTTCGGGCTTCGTTTAAGTCTAAGAACGTTGTTTCAACGTCTAGACCGCTTCAACTTTTGCACATGGATCTTTTTGGTCCTTCTAGAACGAAAAGCTTTGGTGGCAATTACTTTGCGTTTGTGATTGTCGATGACTACTCTAGGTTTACATGGACCTTGTTTCTTACTCATAAAAGTGAAGCATTTCATGTTTTCAAAAA